GATAAAAAAAAGAGAAAAGGAGAGAGGGAAAAAGAGAGGGCGGGGGGGGGGGGGGTGTGTGTGAGAAATTGGGTCATTTTGTGGTATTGAGGGGGGTGTTCGAGATATCAGCCATTGCGCTACAGTCATAGGATTTCCGGGATTCAGAATGGAAATGCTGGTATATACATACCTATAGGGCCCACTATATGGCTAGTGCAGATATAAAAACGCCACTAATAAACGTTGATACAAACGTCGTGATAAAAAACGTTTGTCCTAAGGCACTAAGGACCAACGTGCGGCGTGCTTACGTTTTGGAAAGCGTTTGAACGTCCACATCCTTGGGAAAGTCCATCACGGGCTTGGCGCCCACATCCTCCACATAAGACTCTTCCGGATCCATCAGGAGGTCTTCTAGCAGCTCAGAGTACTCGTGTATCTGTGTATGGCATATCAGTAAGTTTGTTTAAGTATGTGAGGTTTATTGGGAGAACGCGGTATGGGAAGTGATTGTCAAGGTGTGTATGGATGGAGTGGGTAAACACTGTTCTGTGTTTGCACCAGGGAACAGAAAGCTGATTGACTGGTTAATTTTAGAACACAGACTACTCATGCCAGGTAGAATATCGGTATGGGATAGATGGGTTGTATCAAGGAGCACAGCGATGAGCTGTCTAACTGTATTCGCTTATACATACTATATTCGCATATACATACTATATTCGCATTTACATATTAAATTCGCATATACATACTATATTCGCATATACATACTGTATTCGCATATACATACTATATTTGCATATACATACTATATTCGTATATACATACTATATTCGCCACATCTTCAACACGAATAATTTCAAAGATTATTTAATGTTTTAGGCGAGGTTGTAGAAGGGGCCAAGCTTGTACCAGGGTACAAAAGGGTATTTTCGCATACACATACTATATTCGCATATACATACTATATTCGCATATACATACTATATTCGCATATACATACTATATTCGCATATACATACTATATTCGCATACACATACTACATTTGCATATACGTACTGTATTCGCATATACATAATAAATTCACCCACAACCTTCACTTCACTTATATACACTATCTACCCCCACCCACTCGCATCGCATACCTGCTGCACGTCCCCGCGGAAGAGCCCGTCCAGTACCAGATACATAAAGAACAACGGCCACTCACACTCAATGTTATCAAACACCTGCAGCTCAGCAGGCTCATAGTGTAAGCGGTTGCGGTTCTCCATCGGGGTCATATAGCCGTCTCGCAGAAAGCGTTTACACCCGTACCGGCCCTTGAGCTTGGACTCGATGTCGTCACGTGTAATGTCTACCACTGCTTTGCTCTCGACACTGAACGCAGGGTACGAGATAATGGACAGCAGTCCAGCGTCGATCTAGGAATGTAGGGTTTAGGGTTTGGGGGTTTAGAATATGGATGTAGGGTTTTAGTGTTTAGGGGTTTAGGGTTGTGGGTCATAGAGTGATGTTGCCTGGGAGACCAGCGATGAGTTGCCGCTCTGATTGGAGTGACCGAAACATCAGGGAATGAGAAACATATGGGAGAAAGATATATACATATACAGATATACAGATGTACAGATATATATATATATACTATATATATACACAAAAACACAGACACACACAATCTTTCTCTTTCTCCCCCCCCCCCCCCACCAGACACACACAGACACACATATATATATAGTATTGGTTCCTGACTAAATCACACGTTAGCTGCCAACATCCTTACACTACATATTCTCGAAGTGTATCTCAACACAGACATGGGTCGTTTCCATGCCTATTTGCTAAAACAATATCGCTGGGTAAGGCACTGGTTCATTGTGCCTCTGTTTTAGGGTTTAGGGTTTTTACGTCGCGCACATGTGTATATGTGCATCCGGAATGCTCTTACAAACACATGCATAAAAAGCCGGTATCGTTATATATATATACATATAGCTATTGCTCTAAGCTAACTACACACACACGCACACACACACACACACACACACACACACATATATATATATAGTTTACGCATGTTATATTCCCAAGGCGCTTACACACCTCCTTGCTATTGCTTTCGCGCGGCAGCAGTGACTCGAGAATGGCTTGGTTGCGTCTGATATAGTCTGGCATGACGTGGATCACTGATTTGGGTCCCCCCTGTGCTCCAAACAGATCCAATTCGTTGATGCTTTCAAGCGCTGCCTTGGCCATGCCTGTGTGTGTTGGAAGTGGATGGGAGTACGGGTTTATGCGGAGGTGATGTATGTACACACAATACAAATCGGTTTACGTACTCGAGCCAAGAGAAATACGTATCATTTAAGGTGCCATGAGCCCGCGCACAACACCACATAGTCTCATGGGCTAAGCTATTAGGTCATATCTGCGACAAACGTACTTTACTTTTTTTTTGGGTACCAATCAATAGCCGAACACGTGCGTGAACACAGCAATAGATTCACGGGCCATACCAAGACATGCATTCACACCACACAGATCACTGCAGCGTGGGCATAATAAACACTCACGGATAATGTGTAGGGGGTTATATATGCACCAGAAGGGTGTGTAGCACTCAGTTCTACCCCCCTACTAGTCTCTATTCAAACCGGTATCCATACCGGGACACACACACACACACACACACACAGACAGAGCGTGTGTGCGCACACGGAGATACCTACACTTACCGATCGACGACGCATTGAGCTCGGGCAGGCCGTGGTTGGTCTTGTCGCCCCTCTCCCAGATACCATAGTCAGGCGTGTGGTAGGCCAGTTCAATGTAGAACACCAAGTTCTGAACAAAGTGCACCTCATCCAACGACCAAACTATCTGCAACCCACTGGCGGTCATCTGCGACAGCATCAGCACATACAGCGACGTGGCATCGATCTGCAGGTGCCCCCATTCCTTGTCGCCTACGCACACCTTGCCGTTGGCTGAGGAGTACTTGGCGTGGAGTGAGTCGCTGGTGGCCTGGGACTGCTTGAACTTCTCCACCTGAGCACACGGGGGAGTGGGGGTATGTGCGTGGTTGTCAAACACGGTTTACGGGTGTGTAATGACTCAGTATGGGTGTGGAGTAGACGAATGTACTTGTGTGTGCATGAATGGCTTGCGCGTGTGTATTCTACCTAAGGTGTGTACGTGTATGGCACAATGTGCGCGTGTATATTTGAAAACAGTTGTGCGTATATTTATATATATATATATATATACATATACATGTACATATACATACACACACACACACACACATATATATATATATATATAATATAATATATGTACTTATGTATGTGTATATGTATATGTATATGTATATATGGATGTATGTAAGTATGTATGTCTACATATATATATATATATCATATAGAGTTGAATTTATATATATAGCACACTCATACCTTGTCCGACTGGCACATCATGGAGAAGAGTAGCGAGCGCATGAGCTTGACCACACTCTGTTCTAGCTCGTAAGCCTTGGCTCTGTTGACAGCATCGACTGACTTCCTATAGGCCAACGCCAACCCCCACACCGCAAGACACCCGTACACGTTGTCTCGTACCCATGAATGGTGGGATAGATCATTGGGCTGTGTTGGGTAAGTGTATATGCATGAGAGGATGTATGTAGGTACAAGATGTGGGCATACATGTGTCTTGCGCAGGAATGATGTGTTAATTATTGGGCATAGACACGATTATGCGACCACGCCTGTGAATGGTGGGTGTGTCGATATACGTCATATGTTATAGATATATACAAAACACACGAAATACAATACACACACACACACACACAAACAAAAAACACACACACACACACACAATATA